GAAATACTGTGCTTCCTCCTCCGCCACGGTGGACGCTTACGACCACCGTGCTTCCCCGAATGGTGGCACCAGGGAGATGGCGTTGCTGGGGCCAAGGCGGCCCAGAGCCATCACTTCCAGTCCTCATCTTTCTCCTCTCCTCCTCATACCCCTTCCTCCTCCTCCTCCTCCTCCTCCTCCTCCTCCTCCGCCTCCGCCTCCGCCTCCTCCTCCTCCTCCTCCTCTTCCTTCTCCTCCTCCTCCTCCTCCTCCTCGTCCTTCTCCTCCTCCTCCTCCTCCCTCTCCTCCACCTCCCCTCCTCCTCCTCCTCCTCCTCCCCTGCTCCTCCTCCTCCTCTTCCTTCCTCCTCCCTCCTCTCTCCTCCTCCTACCCTCCTCCTCCTGCTCTCCTCCTTCCTCCGCCTCCTCCTCCTCCTCCTTCCTCTCCTCTCCTCCCCTCCTCCTCCGTCGTCGTCCTCCTCCTCCTCCTCCTCCTCCTCCTCCTCCTCCTCCTCCTCCCCCTCCTTCTCTTTTTAACTATTTGTTTGTTTCCTCCTCCTCCTCCTTCTCTTCTCCCTTTTCTCCTCTCGTGTTCGGCCCCTGGGGCGTCTGGGGCGCCTTGGCCCCAGCAACGCCATCTTCCTGGTGCCGCCATCTGTGGAAGCACGATGGTCGGAAGCGTCCATCGTGGTGGAGGAGGGGGAGGCACAGTATTTCGCCCCGCTCCTCGTTTCAGGTTATGGTCAGATATCTCTCTGGCATTTTTCTCGAGCCGGGCCGCTCTGTGAGGGCCCCTGGGGCTCGATTCGCCAGGCGAGAACGCCAGGTGTGAAAAAGTCGGAACTCTCGCGACGAAGGAAAACGGGGTCGTCTTCACTGGCATGGGCGCGCAAGCGCCCGCGTCAGGTCGAGCGTTAGCGCCCTCGTTTCCAGTGTGGTGTGCCGCACCGGCGGCCCACGTAAGCCGCGGCGCAAGGTCGCTCTGTCATCTCGCATTAAGCCCGCTTCTTTTCGTCGCCCACCCGGCTTTCTGATCACAACTCTTGCCTTTGGCGGCCGCTCGGGTCCGTTCGGGCACCCCCAGGAAGCTATCGGCGGGGCGTAGCTGCTGGAAGGCATCTCGAGGCAGGAAGCCCTCCAGGAACCGACGAGAACGTCCAAAAGCCGACGAACACCTACGTACGAAAAGAGCGCCCGCGACCTGCGATCACTTGCGAACCCTACCCCTACGGGTCCAATCGACGGTGGGGTTTTGGACACCCCTCCGCTGGGGTGCACTTGGCTGCAGACATCCTTCAAATTCTGAACCCTAGCCAGTGTTTCAGAAATATCTGACCTGCAGGGGTAGGGTTCACTTGCGGTTGCATGCGCGCGGGATCGTCGGACGGCGACGACGACGACGACGACGACGACGACGACGACGACCGCCGCTCGCTGGCCAGGTGGCTCACCTGGCCGACCTGGGCGGCGGCGGCGGCGGCGTAGTTTTCCGGGGTGCTGGCGGCGGCGCCGCGGCCGGCGGGGCATCCTCCTCCTCGGACCCCCCCTCCTCGCGTCGTGATGGGGATGGAGGATCGGGGGAAGGCGAAGCGACACCACCACCACCACCACCACCACCACCACCACCACCACCACCACCACCACCACCACCACCACCACCACCGCCACCACCACCACCACCACCACCACCACCACCACCACCACCGCCACCACCACCACCACCACCACCACCACCACCACCACCACCACCACCACTCACCACCACCACCACCACCACCACCGCCACCACCACCACCACCACCACCACCACCACCACCACCACCACCACCACCACCACCTCCAGCGAGAAGGTTCACGGTTCCTTCCCGAGCTGGGGACAAGGGGATCTCTCGAGCGAGAGGGGGGGCCTTTTTGGCAGCCCCTTGGGCGATCTTTGGGTCCTCTTGGGCCGACTGGGGGCCCTTTGGGGGCCTCTTGGGTTGTCTTGGAGCTATCTTGGAGGCCTCTTGGAAGGGTCGTCTTGTGTGGTAGCAGGCGAGGACTTCGGCATCCTTCAACAACGGCAGGGAAATCAATGGTTTTGGCCCCCTCGGACTCTGCAGGACTCGGGCCGTCTTGGGGGCCATCCAGGGCCGTCTTGGGCTATCTCGAGCCATCTTGAGGAGCTCTTGAGCGGCTCTTGAGCTGTCTTAGGCCATCTTGAGCCGTCCTGTTGTCGTGTTGGCTATCTTGGAAGCCGTCTTGGAGGCCGTCTTGGCCGTCTGGAGGCCGAAACGATCGCCAGACAACTTCAAAAAGGGCATTTTCCTAAGGGCGCGCTCGGCGAGGGGGGTCCCTGCAAATTCTACAGAGGCTCCCACTGGACAACGCAACACACTCTAACACGCCCACAAGCACGGTGGCGGAGTTCCTGGCTAACGGGCGTGATCGCGGGGGGGAGTTGGGGCGAGGGGGCTGGTGCCGTCGGGGAATGCTTTAGGACTGGCTCATTCCCAGACGGCGCCGACGCGAATCGTGACGCGATCAGGGGGGGGGGCGAAGGGGGGGGGTGCGGTGCGGGTCACGGGACTTATTTTGAATAATGATACAACGCGCTCCCAGACACGTGATGTTCTGATTTTCTCAAGGCGGGCTCTCTCGAAGTTCCGACCCTTTCCCCTCCCCGAGGCCACTGTTTTTTGACGGTCCTAGGACCTGGCACTGGCCCCCAGAGGCCGAACATCGAGGAAAATCTCAGTCCTGATTGTTTCAAGACGCGAACATGTCTGGGCTCGTTTCGCTGCCCTTCATCCAGATGCCCGTCGCGACGTGATCGACCCATTCCCCGGGACCGCTTTTTCATCCTCAGTCGTGTTTTTTGGCGACCCCGAGACCCAGCGAGGGCCCCCAGAGGCCGAAAATCGAGGAAAACCTTAGTCTTTTTCTTTTTCCCCCCAAGACGCGAACATGTCTGGGATTGCATCTTTGCCCCTCACTGGGATGCCCGTCGCGACGCGATCCATTCCCAGGCACTGGTTTTCGATCATCAGTCATGTTTTGACGGCCCCGAGGCCCGGCGAGGGCCCCCCCGGGGCCGAAAATAGCGGAAACCCTTTTGCCGTGATTTTCCCGGAAAGGGCGGGGGCCCAGGGTTCTCTTTTAGTAGGTAAACCTGTCCCCCGGTGCCAACTTGAGGGAGGCCGGCGAATTTTTTCCCTGATAAATAACGAGGTCGAAGGAGGCCGGCGAATTAAAATTTGAGGATGTCTCGAGCGAAACGCTTGTTTTTGAAATCCCGATCGATAAATCACAGGGTGCGGGCCACTTTTTCGTGTGTTGAGGATGTCTCGAGCGAAACGCTTGCTCCGCAGAGTTTGCCGAGGATGTCTCGAGCGAAACGCTTGTTTTGCAGAGCCGACCGCGACGCGGAAAAGCGCCCCGCGCGAAGGAATTTCGATGATGTTTCGACTAATTTGTTTGTTTTTGTACGATTTCCTGGAATTTTGGCAGGATGTCTCGAGCGAAATGCACGACCCCACCCTAGCACGACCATACCCCAGCACGACCACACCCCAGCACGACCAGACCCCAGCACGACCCCACCCCAGCACGACCCCACCCCAGCACGACCATACCCCAGCACGACCACACCCCAGCACGACCCGACCCCAGCACGACCCTACCCCAGCAAGACCACACCCCAGCACGACCACACCCCAGCACGACCTCACCACAGCACGACCACACCCCAGCACGACCACGCCCCAGCACGACCACGCCCCAGCACGACCACGCCCTAGCACGACCACACCCCAGCACGACCACTCCCCAGCACGACCACACCCCAGCACGACCACGCCCCAGCACGACCACGCCCCAGCACGACCACCCCCCAGCACGACCACCCCCCCAGCACGACCACCCCCCAGCACGACCACCCCCAGCACGACCACACCCCAGCACGACCACGACAGCCTATGGTTTAGTGGTTGCCCTGTCTGTCGTGGAATGTTTTCCGTGGTGTCTCTCGTGAATGTTTCGCGGGGTGTCTCGTAAAAGTTTCCAGTGAGGTGTCCTCGTGGAAATGTTTCGTGAGGTGTCTCGTGGGCTGTTTCGTGAGGTGTCTCGTGGGATGTTTCGTGAGGTGTTGCCCAGTTGGGTATCATGAAAACGTGTCCATGCTCCACATGTCTATATCCCTTTCCGGGTTCGTGGGTCCATCATGTTTTCGTTTTTTCGAGGGGGGTTTGGGATCGTTGCTCCTCGCCCAGACGCCCGTCGCGACCGCGACGCGATCGTCGGGAGCCTTGAGACGAGGGTCAACGCAAACGGGGGTCAGCCAGAGCGCTGGACCTTGCAGGATCCTGCAGAGCCAGGGTTGCCCTGACCCAGGTTGGCGCGCGGTATTCTGCAGGATCCTGCAGGGTTCTGGGACGACGCCGTCGCCGTCGCCGTCGCCGTCGCCGTCGCCGTCGCCGTCGCCGTCGCCGTCGCCGTCGCCGTCGCCGTCGTCGTCGTCGTCGTCGTCGTCGTCGTCGTCGTCGTCGTCGTCGTAATCGTCGTCGTCGTCGGAGTCCTCGTCCTCGTTGACGTCGACGTCGTCGTCGTCGTCGTCGTCGACGTCGTTGTCGTCGTCGTCGTCGTCGTCGGAGTCGTCGTCGTCGTCGTCGTCGGAGTCGTCGTCGTCGTCGTCGTTGTCGTCTGCCGTCTTCGTCGTCGTCGTCGTCGTCGTCGGCTTCGTCCTCCGTCGTCCTCGCGTCGTGTCGTCGTCCGTCTGTCGTCCGCGTCGTCCTCGTCCGTCCTCGTCCTCGGTCGTCCTCGTCCTCGCGTCGTCGCCGGCGTCCGTCGTCCCCCCAAAAGCCCCACACAACAACCCCCCCCCCCCGTCCTCGTCGTCGTCGTCGTCGTCGTCGTCGTCGTCGTCTGGGATGCCCGTCGCGACGCGATGCGGGGGGGCCCGGGCCCTCGCCGTCCCCTTGCAGCGCGCGGTCGCGGACGCCCGCGAGGGGCGCCGCGGGCGCAGGGCGCCCGGCCGCCGAGGCGCGGACGCAGGCGCGGCGCCGGAGCAGGACGCGCCCGGCGGGGGGCCCTCGTCAGATCCAGCGTCCTCCTCCTCCTCCTCCTCCTCCTCCTCCTCCTCCTCCTCCTCTTCCTCCTCCTCCTCCTCCTCCTCCTCCTCCTCCTCCTCCTCTTCCTCCCCTTCCTGCTCCCCGGCCTCGAGCGGGCGGCGCGAGTCATGGAAGAATCACGGCGGGAGGCTTTTCGCTGTCTTCGGCCTCGGGGGGGCCGTCGCCGGGCCTCGGGGCCGCCCAGAAACGACTCAGCATGTAAGACCGGTCCCGGGGAAGGGGTGTGACCTCTGAGGGTCGACGCTATGAGAAAGCATGACGTCGGGGGTCTGGGCTAACTACTCGGGGGTGGCCAAGAGGGGGGTGATGACTGGGGGGGGGATGTCATGGTGAATGCTATGGTATCTCACCAGATTGCATGGTGCCTCTTCTTGTTTCTTTGGGTCCCCCGACTCACCCCTGGGCCGCGCACATGCCTCAGGCCATGATTTGCGAACCCCCCTCTTGGACACCTCTTGGACGCGCCTGGCGGACTGGCGGCCGTCATGTGCAACGTTAGTCGGTACGGTCGAAGTGTCGGAGGAGGAGCATGTACCCATACCGCTACCATTGCCTCGTTTTCCCCTTTTTCCCGGAAAGGGCGTCGGCCCAGGGTTCTCTTTTCCCGGAAAGGGCTCAGGCCCAGGGTTCTCTTTTAGTAGGTAAACCTGTCCCCCGGTGCCAACTTGAGGGAGGCCGGCGAATTTTTTCCCTGATAAATAACGAGGTCGAAGGAGGCCGGCGAATTAAAATTTGAGGATGTCTCGAGCGAAACGCTTGTTTTTGAAATCCCGATCGATAAATCACAGGGTGCGGGCCACTTTTTCGTGTGTTGAGGATGTCTCGAGCGAAACGCTTGCTCCGCAGAGTTTGCCGAGGATGTCTCGAGCGAAACGCTTGTTTTGCAGAGCCGACCGCGACGCGGAAAAGCGCCCCGCGCGAAGGAATTTCGATGATGTCTCGACTAATTCCTTTGTTTTTGTACGATTTCCTGGAATTTTGGCAGGATGTCTCGAGCGAAATGCACGACCCCACCCTAGCACGACCCTACCCCAGCACGACCACACCCCAGCACGACCAGACCCCAGCACGACCCCACCCCAGCACGACCCCACCCCAGCACGACCATACCCCAGCACGACCACACCCCAGCACGACCCGACCCCAGCACGACCCTACCCCAGCAAGACCACACCCCAGCACGACCACACCCCAGCACGACCTCACCACAGCACGACCACACCCCAGCACGACCACGCCCCAGCACGACCACGCCCCAGCACGACCACGCCCCAGCACGACCACCCCCCAGCACGACCACCCCCCCAGCACGACCACCCCCCCGCACGACCACCCCCCAGCACGGCCACACCCCAGCACGACCCCTCCCCAGCACCTAACCACACCCCATCACGACCACACCCAGCACGACCACACCCCAGACGACCCACCCCAGAACGACCCCAACCCAACACGACCCCACCCAGCACGACCCCACCCTAGCAGACTCACACCCCATCACGACCACACCACCAGCCCGACCTCACCACATCACGACCACCCCACACTGACCACGCCCCAGCACGACCATCGGCCCCACGCACTACCACCCCCAGCACAAACCCACCCCCCAGCACGACCACCCCCAGCACGACCCCACCCCAGCACGACCACTCCCCAGCACGACCACACCCCAGCACGACCACACCCCAGCACGGCCACACCGCCTTGGTTGAGTGGTTGCCTGTCGTCGTGGAATGTTTCGTGGGGTGTCTCGTGGAATGTTTCGCGGGGTGTCTCCTGGAATGTTTCGTGAGGTGTCTCGCGGAATGTTTCGTGAGGTGTCTCGTGGGATGTTTCGTGAGTTGTCTCGTGGGATGTTTCGTGAGGTGTTGCCCCGTTGGGTATCGTGAAAACGTGCCCATGCTCCACATGTCTATATCCCTTTCCGGGTTCGTGGGTCCATCATGTTAGTAGGTAAACCTGTCCCCCGGTGCCAACTTGAGGGAGGCCGGCGAATTATTTCCCTGATAAATAACGAGGTCGAAGGAGGCCGGCGAATTAAAATTTGAGGATGTCTCCAGTACAGGCTTTGTTTGTCAGAATTTTGTTGAGTCTTCCAGGATGTCTCGAGCGAGACGCTGGTTTTGCAGAGTTGGGGATGTCTCGATCGAAACGCTTGGTTTCAGAATTTGTTGAGGATGTCTCGAGCGACACGCTGGTTTTGCAGAGCCGACCGCGACACGGAAAAGCGCCCCTCGCGCAGGAATTCTGAGGATGTCTCGCGCGTGCCGCGTCCCGCGCGCAGGGATTTCGAGGATGTCTCGACTAATTCGGTTGTTTTGCCAGGATTTCTTTGGATTTTGATAGAATGTCTCTAGCGAAACGCTTGTTGTTTCAACATTTGTTGAGGATGTCTCGAGCGAAACGCTGGTTTTGCATCACAGGGTGCGGACCACCCCAGCACGACCACACCCCAGCACGACCCCACCCCAGCACGACCACACCCCAGCACGACCACGCCCCAGCACGACCACACCCCAGCACGACCACACCCCAGCACGACCCCACCCCAGCACGACCCCACCACAGCACGACCACCCCCCAGCACGACCACACACCAGCACGACCACACCCCAGCACGACCCCACCCCAGCAAGACCACACCCCAGCACGACCAACACCCCTCACGACCACGCAAACACCCCAGCACTACCCCAACCCCATCACTACCACACCCAGCACGACCACACGCCGCTAGCACGACCACACCCAACACGACCGCACGACCACACCCCAATCCAAGATCACAGGAAACACCCACCACCACACCCAGCACTAACCGAGCGATGAATCACAGTTTTTGTACCACCCCATCCCTGACCACGCCCCAGCACGACCCCCCCCCAGCACGACCACCCCCCCAGCACGACCACCCCCCAGCACGACCACACCCCAGCACGACCACACCCCAGCACGACCCCACCCCAGCACGACCACACCCCAGCACGACCACACCCCAGCACGACAAGCACGACCACACCCCAACACTACCCCACCCCAGCACGACCCCACCCCAGCACGACCACACCCCAGCACGACCACACCCCAGCACGACCCCACCCCAGCACGGCCCCACCCCAGCAAGACCACACCCCAGCACGACCACACCCCAGCACGACCTCACCACAGCACGACCCCACCCCAGCACGACCACGCCCCAGCACGACCACGCCCCAGCACGACCACGCCCCAGCAAGACCACCCCCCAGCACGACCACCCCCAGCACGACCTCACCAAGCACGTACCACACCCAGCACGACCACGCCCCAGCACGACCACGCCCCAGCACGACCACGCCCCAGCACGACCACCCCCCAGCACGACCACCCCCCAGCACGACCACCCCCAGCAGACCACCCCCCAGCACGACCACACCCCAGCACGACCACTCCCCAGCACGACCACACCGCCTTGGTTGATTGGTTGCCTGTCGTCGTGGAATGTTTCGTGGGGTGTCTCGTGGAATGTTTCGCGGGGTGTCTCCTGGAATGTTTCGTGAGGTGTCTCGCGGAATGTTTCGTGAGGTGTCTCGTGGGATGTTTCGTGAGGTGTCTCGTGGGATGTTTCGTGAGGTGTTGCCCCGTTGGGTATCGTGAAAACGTGCCCATGCTCCACATGTCTATATCCCTTTCCGGGTTCGTGGGTCCATCATGTTGGGCCTCCTGGAAGGCCCTCGTCGCCACCGCTGGATTCGCCTCGAAATGTCAGAACGCACTCCGAGAGAGGTCCAGGGAGCAGCGTTACCTCCGGGTCTCTCCCCAAACGGGTGCGACAAGAGTGGGTACGTAGACGGTCCGCAGTTCTTGTCCATGCGGAGCAGGATGCGCTGTCGGTGCCGACGCGGGCCTTGCCCACTTGAGGCAGAAGGCCGCCCGCCCCAGAGCGGCCGCTGCCGGTTTCGGACAACAGTTGCTGTTGGGCATCGTGCCCATTTTTTCCGTACCCATTTCGGGCGTCCAAAGCTGGCGACCGTCATGTGTAACGTTGGCCGGGTCAGATGGTACCAAATATATTCCAAACACTCGTTACCAACCGCTCGTTCGACCACGCTAGTTCGGAGCGTCTTGAGGCCCATGCCGGCTTTACAGCATGTTCCGCGGCCTGACGTTGCGAAAACCATTCCGCCCTCCGTGAGACGTCGTCATCCTCAAGCCTGCTCCTCCCCCCCCCCCTCCAGCACGCCGGACTCCGAGCAGTCCCTCCTCATCGTCATCCTCGAGCCACCCCCCGCCGCGCCTCGTCCGCCCTCCCCCCCCCTCCCCTTTCCTGTCGCCTCGCCTCCCCACCACCTCCGCCCGCCCACCCGATTCCGAGCAGCCCCTCGTCGTCGTCATCCTCAAATCTGATCCCCGCCGCGCCTCGTCCGCCGCGGTCCGCTGTTGACGATCCATGGGGCCCGAGCGCGGCTCGGGGCCTCGAGCACGCTGTCGCGGGATCTCGTCCACGGTGATCCTGGTCGCTGGCTGCCGCCGGTTCGCGAGGGTGCTCCACGAAATGACGATGACCAGGATGGGCGATAATCGGAGGCCTCGAGGTTGGCACCGACACCAACATCGGCGGTGTGCCTCCACCGAGGGAAGCTGATCCCGATCTCGGTGATGGTGGTGGTTTTACTCGGGCTTCCTAGGTGGCCAAACATATCGACACCAACAGCAAAAACCATGATCATCCTCCCCCTGTGGACGCACCCCCCTGTTTTGGTGGTGTTGGTTTTGCCGTCCGAGCCCCACTGATGACCAACATCGGCACCAACGTTTCCGCGTTCAGTCTTGGTCATGGTCCTCGTCTTCTCCCCCTTCCGGGGCCCCCGTCTCGAGTCTCGGGCGGGCCTGTCCGGCGGGCCTGCCAGGACGCCGCCGCGCCAGAACCCGGACTGCAAGTTCGGCATGTCGTGCCGCAGGGCCGCCTGCTGGTGCTCCGACGACGACGACGACGACGACGACGACGACGACGACGACGACGACGACGACGACGACGACGGCGACGGCGACGGCGACGGCGACGGCGACGGCGACGGCGACGGCGACGGCGACGGCGACGACGGCGACGGCGCGCCTCTCGCCGGCTCTCCCGGAGCCTGAGGCCGCCAGCACCGCACACGAAGCCCTTCGAGGTCACGTGCTATCCCAGGCGATGGCGCGTCACGAGCAAATTACGACATTTTTTTTGTTTTTTTTTTTTGTTTCTCTTCTTTGCAGCCCCCTGTGGGGCCCTCATCAGTCCTCCCCCGGACCGTCAGAACACAACTCGAGAGGAGCAGTTGGGGTCGAGATGGGTGTCCACGTGGTGAACAAACGCGATGTCGGGGACCTGGGTATGCACCTACGCCGGTCCTGGCCAGGCCAGGCGGATCCTGAGTCCAGACTCGGCGTGCATGTCCTCCTGGCCTGGCCAGTGTTGAGGCTGCAGAGGGCGGCACGTGAGCATTTCCATATCTCCCGAAAAGAAGATGTTCAGTCCCGCGGAGGGGTGCCTTGCCGCCTGACGGCGAACATTTTCTGAACGCCCTTTGCTGCGCTTGCTGTCTGATGCCTCGAGCAGCGATTGCCCGAGGGATTCCGCGGCGCACCTCTTATGGGGGGCCGCGTCCGACCAGCTTCCGAACCCGCGGGCCTGCGGGTTCCCCACTGCGCGCTGGCCGCGCCTCGCCGCGCCGTGCGGCGCGGCGGCGCCGTGCTGCGCCGCGCGTCGCTCCCTGCCGCGTCGAGCGTGGCCCGCGCCGCGCCGCGGCGCGCGCCTCGCCGCCCCGCCGCGCGCCGCGCCTCTCTCCCCGTCGTGCCGCGCCGTTCCGCGCGGGGGAGCGACCGCGCGAATTCGTGAATCGGAGAGCGGCATGCCGTCCCGCGCCGCCCGCCGCGTCGAGCGGCGCCGCGCGCGGCTCTGCTCGCCGACCTGCGAGTCGCGACCGCGCACCGCGAACTGTGGTTCCATTTCTGAGCACGCGGAGAGGCCCGACACTCGGGTCGGGCGAAAGGGGGGGATTGGGAAAGGGGGGGTTACGAAATTTGCTGCATGCAGCTGGTTTCGGCCTCACCGAGGGGCCCATTCCTCGATACATAGGCCGCCTCCGGCGCCGGGAGCGCCGGGAAAATCAGCTACGTGAGCTGATTCTCAAACCCCCCCTTTGCTATCCCCCCCTTTCGCCCGACCCGAGACACTTAATTACCCGACCCGACACTTAATTACCCAACAGGTACATCACATTTACACCTTTCACACCACTTTACATGACTTCAACCCTCCTTTTACACAACATCGCGCCACTTTTGCACCACTTTGACTCCACTGTTACAGCAGTTTTTTCACCACTTTTGCACAGCTTTGCACACCTTTTACACCATATGTGCGCCACAACTATCCCAGCCCGCACTTCGCGCACGCGAGCGGAGCTTCCGCACGCGCCCCCAAGAATACGACGGAGCCGCCTGGGATTAGGTTTTGAGTTAATAAATTCAGTTCTGGGGGGCCCACAGGGATTGGAAACCGCGCCTGGGAATACACCAGAGGACACGGATTCAATAACCCGAAACATGTACACCACTATTACACCACTTTTGCATACATTTTTCATCACTTGTACACCACTTTGAACCCCTCTCGTACATTGTTTGTACGATATCTTCTGCATCACTGTTGTATCACTTTTACACAGATTCTGTACCACATTAGCACCGCATGTGCCACGTGCCACATACATTCGCAAAGCGCTCCGGCGCCCTCTCGTGGACTGTGGTGAGTTGCCGAGACGCTTGCGCGGACCACGTGCGGTGCGCGTTGGCTTGACGTGCCAATGGCCGTCAGGGTCGCGACGGCCTTTTCCCCGCACTTGCGCGGAACTCGCGAAGCATGTGTTCCCGTGCACGCGCGCGCCAGTTGCGTTTCTATCAGTTCTTCTACATGGGTGCCCCCTCTATGTTCAGGGTTGCGCGCTGGTCAGGTTATTTGAGTCCCTGGAGCGGAACTTTCGCAGCCTTGGTGATGATAGGGCCCGTTGTCCCGACTTCCTGCCGCCGCCCCCCCGCGCGGGCCCCGTCGACCGAGGCGATTATCTGCAGCCGTGGACCGCCCTGGAATTTTAGCCAGAGAGCGCGCGCGCAGAACGCATCGTTGCCTGTCGCCGCCGCCGCGACTGTTACATCGCGGCGCGCCGCGGCCGCGCTCGATCGCCGATAGCCCGCGAGAAGAAACTGATTTCCCAAAGCGAGGGGATTATTGAGAATTCTGCGCGGAGGAGTACAAATAGCCCCGCGGAGGTCAGCGGCCCCCGCGCGCTTGCCCTGGGACTTCGGCACAGGCCCACTAGACTGCCGCTGGCTGCCCTTGGCAGCCTCAGCACTTGCCAGGGGGGCGTACGCACCGATCTTGGGTTTGGGATGGGCCAGACCCAGGGTAAGTGTGCAGTCCTTGGCGCCATCCCGTGGGAAGGGTGCGGGGTGCTCCGCGCCGTCGGCCTTTCGTTGGCCTCTCGGGGCGCCCTCGTGGCTGCACGCGGCTCGAGGAGCTGGTCAGTACGGATCCCGGTAGGGCAGCGTCGGGAAGCTTCTGGTCGGGGGCGCGGCGGGGGGTGCGACCTTGCAGAAATTCGGAGGCGCCCTGCTGTACAAGACGGTTGAGCGCGCCATGAACCAATTGCTTGGAGTGAACATCTAATCTAGACTCTCAGAACGAATGTCCGAATCTCGAGCGGGCCAGCCACAACCGAACCCAGATCACCACATTGTCCGTTCTGGTCGGGTCGGCCAACCAGTTCCACCCTGCGCAAGAAGTGGGAGCTGGCGGTCGTCCGTCAGCCTGGTCACCGCCGTGGATCCTGGTGCGGCCAAACGGATGCGATCCCGACTCCGTGCTGCACGTTCCTGCCCGATCCGATCCGTTCCGATTCGCCCCATGCCGCCGGCCCCCTGTCTCGGATAATGGGAGATGCAAAAGCTAAATCATGAGGTCTGGGCGCCGCCGTGAAGCAGTGTCGGGACCTGTTTGTTTTTCGACCCTGACCCTACGGATCTGCGTCACGGGTGCCACCGAATTTCAGAAATGTGGCAAATCCTTTGTGTTTTTGGACCCTGAGCCTGCCGATCTGCGTGAGGGGTGCCACCGGATTTCAGAAATGAGGCAAATCCCAAGTGTTTTTGGACCCTGACCCTGCCGATCTGCGTGAGGGGTGCCAGCGAATTTTGGAAATATGGCAAATCACATGTGTTTTGGATCCTGACCCCGCCGATCGCATGAGGGGTGCCACCGGATTTCAGAAATGTGGCAAATCCCTTGTGTTTTTGGACCCTGACCCTGCCGATCTGCGTGAGGGGTGCCACCGAATTTCAGATATGTGGCAAATCCCATATGTTTTTGGACCCTGACCCTGCCGATCTGCGTGAGGGGTGCCACTGGATTTCAGAAATGTGGCAAATCCCTTGTGTTTTTGGACCCTGACCCTGCCGATCTGCGTGAGGGGTGCCACCGAATTTTAGAAATGAGGCAAATCCCATGTGTTTTTGGACCCTGACCCCGCAGATCTGCGTGAGGAGTGCGACCGAATTTCAGAAATGTGGCAAATCCGCTATTTTCTTGGACCCTGACCCCGCCGATCTGCGTGAGGGGTGTCAATTTTTACCCACGCCAGCAATTCAGACAACACGCTCAGGGCGTGGTAAAAATGTTCGCTTTGGGCCTTCCCCCCTCGCGCGGTCCATCAACAAGGAACAGTAAGCAGCAAGTAGTCAGCAAGGAACAGTAAACAGCAAGAAGCAGAACTGTAACAGTGGAAACTGGAAGCTGCAACTGGTACAGGAAACTGCGAACCTTCGGCCTACAGCCTGTTGGCCCCACAAGGGGGCCGGCGGATTTGCTTGCGTGCGAATGTCACTCTGTCTTGTATAAGTGACCAAATGTATCTGCACTCGACCCTAGCAACGATACTCCGATCCGATCCGATGCCGACGCACGTTCCAATGGGATCCGGTTCCCGGCGCACGTTCCGAGCCGAGCCGGCTCATCGACGCGGTGCCGTCCGCTTTTGCCCCCGGGGGCGCGCGCCGCCCGGGTGGAGCATCGCTTGCCCGATCCCGATCCCCAGTGGCGGGGCCTGGGCCCCACCGGCCGATTCTCACCCCCGCCCGCAGAGAGTGGCGGGCGCACCACCAATACCTGGGTACATTCCGCATGAGCTGGTGTGCGGGATGCCGGTGCGCACGATGTCCCGCGAGAGCGCCCGGAAAAATATACACCGCCACCAAGCCTGACCACCCTCTGCCTCTATCCTCCAAGTGGTGGTTTCGGGCGACGAAATCTGTACACATCCACTGCTCCCTGGCCAGGCCCATCCTGAACCCAGGAGCTGTGTATACGCCATCCTGGCCAAGCCAGGAGGGCGTGGCATATTCACCGCTGCTGGGTTCAGGATGGGCCTGACCATGGAGCATCGGATATGCTTAAGTTTCGTCACCCTACGGTGGTGGTGGCGCGTCTGTTTCCCCCCAAAGATTGCTGTTGGGTTTCGAGGGGCCTGTCTCCCACTGGTGTGGCGGGACGGTGGGGCTAAGATGCCATAGCCCAGTGGGGCTGGGGAAAGGTCACTCCAAATTTCGGAATGAAAGGGAGGGGGTCACAACCCTCCTAGACGAGCAGTTCTAGACCCCCCCCAGACCAGCCGTGAACGGGCGGCTTTTTGCCCAGACCCCGTGGGACCCTCCAAGGCAGCTCAAATCAGACCCCCCCAAAAGTCAGACCACACCCCTTGTGTTATTATGGAATTCGGAGTCAGCGATATTGTCGGCCACGCGCAGAGGGGGGTAGATGGAGGGGGGAAGGCCTCTTAGAAGCACCCCTGGTTCTTGGAATGCGCTGGCCTCATCTGTAGATGTAAAGCCGAGGCCTTCTAAGAAGCAGGGGTGCTTCTAAGAAGCCTTCCTCCCTAGCCCTGCCCCCCTTGCGCGCCGCCGATGTTGAGAGGTACAGGCACCCCGACGGCCGCGAGCTGCAGCCGAAGACCGACGGCCTGTCGAGGTGCCCGTGGTCCACGGCAAGGGGAGCGGCCGCCCCGTGCCAACCTCCAGAAGACCCAGACCTCCCCCTCCTCCTCCTCCTCCTCCTCCTCCTCCTCCTCCTCCTCCCCTCCTCTCTCCTCCTCCCTCTCCTCCTCCTCCTCCTCCTCCTCCTCCTCCTCCTCCTCCTCCTCTCCTCCTCCTCCTCCTCTCCACCTCCTCCTCCTCCTCCTCTCCTCCCTCCTCCTCCCCCCTCCCCCTCCCCCTCCCCCTCCTCCTCCTCCTCCTCCTCCTCCTCCTCCTCCTCCTCCTCCTCCTCCTCCTCCTCCTCCTCCTCCATTTTGGCTCAAGCCATTTTGGCTCAAGACTTCTGCACCTGAGGGCTCCGCGCCCTCGTGCCAAATCGGAAGCTGCTAGTCCGCAGCAGTGCCAAGGCCTTGCGCCTGACAGCTTTGCCAGTACTGCACGGGCTTCTGGCAGCCCATCCGTTTCGTGGGCTCCTGTCGGAGCGTGCCCATGGTTCCTTGGTCTCGTGCCGAGAATGCGCAGCCGTGGAGGTGCAAGTCCTGCCTTCGCAAGGATGGGACCCCGTGGCGGAACTGGGGCACGTCGAAGGCTTGCGGCAAGTGCGGCATCCACAAGGGCGCGTGCTTCAAGGACACCGTCCCGTCCGACAGCCTGGCGCCTTCCAGGCGTCGCAAGGGCGCTGCTGGCGGCGGTGGTGACGGCGGCTCTGGCGCTGGGTCTGGCGACGCAATGCGCAAGCGCATCGCCGAGCTGGAGGCGCAGCTGGCCCGTGCACGGGACGGGACCGCTCGCGACGCCATGGACCTGGGGGTCGACGGCGACGCGGCCTCTCCTCCGGAGCGCGCAACCGAGCAACGCCGTGACCGTCTTCAATGGCTCGAGCGGCAGATTGCCTACTGCGACGCCCCCGGCCAGCGCGGAGACCCCTTCTACCAGGAGTCTCGGCCCAAGTTCGTGCAGGAGCGCGACGAGCTGCGCCGCACCCTGGTTGCGTCCAAGCCCCTCGACGTGCGGCAGCGCGACCTCGCAACCAAGATGTCCAAGCAGCGCCAGCGGATCACCGCCTGCGACCTGCAGGTGGCGGGCCTCAAGGAGAAGCTCGCCGCCATTACGGCGGACCTGGACGTGGCGACCCGCGCCGCGGCCGAGGCTCGGACGCTCATGGTGCAGCTGGAGGCGGACAACATGGCGTTGGCGGCCCTGGCTCCCTTGGCGCCAGAAGCCGTCACGCTGGACGCCGTGGTGCCGAGGCTCGAGGTCACCATGCAGCAGTTCTCCTCGCTCTTGCGAGGGTTGGGGGGCTCCGAGACGATCGAAGCCACCTTCCAGGCCGCCTTGGCCAGCCACGTCGCTGGGCTTCGCGCGGCCCAGGCTGAGCCCCAGAGAGCGGCGCCTGGCACGCCCCAGGGCCCTGCGGGCGGCGCCCCTGGAGCCCCTCCTGGCGGGCCTCCTGGCGCTGGTGCTGAGGGGCCTGCTGCTCCCGTCGCGGCTCCTGGCACGCCTGGCAGCTTCGATTTCCTGGGTGCTGACACGACGGCTGAGGACGTTCGCTCGTTCGTGGAGTCGATGGGCTTCCAGGTGCCCGCCGAGGAGGCCGAGAGCGTCACCATCGAGCGGGCTCGCGTCATCAACGAGGCGATCCAGAGCCAGGCCAAGCGGCTCAAGACCCAAGTGGGCGCTGCGACGTCATAATCGGTGGTACCCGCTACATCGCGTTCGGTCTGCTTGCCTTGTCGTGATCATGATGGCGTGCACCACGATGGACAACGAGATCGACCCCCTGGAGGAGGTCGACGACGCGGCCGAGTTTATGGCCCAGTACGCAGAGGCACCTTCTGCTCCCGAGGTGCCAGGGGCCGCCGCGGGAGCCCCCCGCCCGGACGATTTCGTCCACGCAGCTGGCGCTTCCGTGCGCGCCGGCACGCACCGGGGGCCAGTCTGGGCCGCCGCCGCCCCGGGGCCCCGGCCGCCGCCGCCGCCGCCGCGGGCCCCGGCCGCCGCTGCCGCCGCCGCGCGGGCCGCCGCTGGGGCCGCCGTGGGCCCCGGCCACCGCCCCCGTGCGGGCGGGAGTGTGTCCGCACCCGCCGTTTGCGGACTCACTCCCGCGCAGGCCCCGGGCGCCCCCGGCGTGGACCCCCCGGGCCCGTGCGGGCCCGTGCGGGCTGATCAGCTCGCGCCGTCGGATTGGGTGCCTACCTTCCTGGTCGAGGCTGCTGGCGTGCGGGCCCCTGCCAGGGCCGCCGGGCGCGCTGGCGGGACCGCCAGAGGCGCCGCCGTGGCCGCAGCGGCCGCCAGCTCCGCCGGGCCCGCCTCTGGTGGTCGCCAGGTTGCCGAGGCCTCGAGCGAGTTCGTCGGCACGCTGGTCTCGGCCAACACTTCCTCCTTCGGCCCGATGTTCGACTACGTGGCGGAGGTGTCGCACGAGGTGCGGGTAATTGCCGTGCAGGAGCACCGCATTCCTCAGGCCAGGCTGGGCGAGATGCAGAATCGTCTGGCGGATCTGGGCTGGCATGGGGCTTGGACGGCTGGCTTGGAGACGGCAGCGCAGAGCACAACCAGCGGCGCCGCGGTGTTGGTTCCGTCTTTCGTGCCCCTCACCACGGCCCCTGGCCTGGCCGACGGGACCCTCGTCCCTGGCCGTGCAGCCGCAGCTCGGGTTCACTGGGGCATCCCGCAGGGCCTGGTCTGCATCAGTCTTTACTGTGTGGACTCCGTGGGCTTCGCGGGGCCCAACTTGGATGTGCTGTGGAGAGTTTTCGAGTACTGTTGCCAGCTCAACGCCCAGGGCGAGGACTTCGTCATCATGGGCGACTGGAATATGGCCTCCGATGTGGAGGGGCTCCGCGAGGCGCTGTTGTCGGTTCGTGCCATTCCCTTCGCCCCCGGGGACGTGACTTGCGTTCAGGGGGAGGGCTCCATCATCGACTTCATGGCAGCGTCGTCGAACCTGGTCTCCAGGCTTGACAGCCAGGTGACAGCACAGCTCGACTCTGACTTGTACCCGCACCGCCCTGTGCACCTGCGGATGCGGGGCTGCGATCGCCCAGCCTGGTGCAGGGTGGCCGACGAGCCCAGGCCGCTCTCGGCGCTGCCCCCTCCTGGGTGTGCCAGGCCGCCTTACGACTGGGGGCCGCTGGCGGCGGATGCCCAGGTGGTCACGGAGTCCGACGGGCTGGTCCAGCTCTGGGACGCCGTGCTGCACGGGATCGACGCCGAGCTCTGCGCGCGCTGGGACAAGGTCGGGGCACAGGCCAAGGCGCACTCGGGCCGAGCGGGGCCCCTCCAGGTGCGCTGGCAGCTTCTGAGATGGCGGCCACGGCGGCGACGGCACTATCGCGACGGGTCCGTTCGACCATGGGTCGTGGCCAAGAGGTGGATGACTCACCTTACGGCTGTTCGTCAGCGGCTGCAGGAGCAGCTCGGCGGCCTGAACTTGGCGGCGGCCATGTGTGACCTGATGCCCTGCCAGTGCTTTGGCGTCCTGCGGGAATTGGAGGAGGCCCACCGCTACTTGGTGAAGGTCTCGAGGCAGCGGGCGGTCCTGGCCGCCATCGACCCGACGGTGGCCAAGTACTTGCAGAGGGGCCTCATGCTGCTGGTCTCGCCGCACTTCGACTACTGCGTCGACCTGGTGGTGCGCGTGGCGGACCAGAAACTAAGCGACGCCCAGGCCGCTTCGGAGGCGGCGTGGCGCGGCTGGCTGCAAGAGGCCTTCCTTCGGGGGGCGCGGGGGGCCCACCGTGCCTCCAAGATCGTCCCCATGCAGCCCCTGCTGCAGCTGGAGGGCGAGGTGCAGCCTTATGTGGTGGCCGACGCGGCGCTCCAGGAGTGGGAGGACGTCTGGTCCCACCACGGCGCGGCGTGGCTGCCCAAGCCTGCTGACTTCGACCAGTGGGAGCTGCTGCCGCCGATCACCGTCCAGGACATGCGGGCGGCGATTTGGAGCTACCCGGCCACCACCGCCCGGGGGCCTACTCGCCTGGCGCCCAAGTCTCTCTACTTTGTGTCGGACGAGGGGCTGCGGGCGATCGCGAGGCTCCTGGAAGCCTGCGAGCGGTTGGGCATGTGGCCCGACGGGCGCGTGGAGTCGGAGCTCGTGCAGATGAGCAAGGCGGACGGGGGCAAGCGCCTCATTGCCTTACTCCACACCCTGACGCGCTTGTGGGGGAAGCTGCGCCGTCCCCTGGGGAAGCGGTGGGAGGAGACCCATGCTGCCCCCTGGGTCTGGGGCAATCGCTCCCGCTTCACATCCAGCGACTCGGCATTCGACCTGAACCTGGAGCAGGAGGGGGCCACCCTGTTGGACGAGCAAAGCGGCACCTGGGTCAGTGACATGGCCAAGTGCTTCGAGCTGGTGGACAGCAGCCAGCTTCTTTTGGAGGCCCGGGAATGCAATTTTCCCTTGCGGCTCGTGTGGATGATGATTGACCTCTACCACCAGCCTCGTAGGGTTCGGGTGGGGCCCAGCCTGTCGCTGGCCATGCTGGTCTTCCAGGGCGTGCTGGCGGGGTGCACTCACGCTCCCACGGCGCTCCTGGTCCTGACCCACCGCACGATGGCGAGGCTCAGCAAGATGTGCCCCAACGTGCGGCCCAGGCAGCTGATGGACGACATCACCCTGCACTACGTGGGGCCCCGCGAGGCAGAGGCCAGCCAGCTCGAGGTCGCCGCCGTCGAACTGACGCGTTGCGTGCAAGGCCTCGGCATGCGGGTCAAGCGGGCCAAGTCTGGCTTGGTTTTCAACCGCGCGTGCTTTGCGCACCGCTTCCGCGCGCGGGCCGTGCAGATTGGCCTGCGCCCGAGGCGGGCGATGCGCAACCTCGGACACGAGCACCACGGGCCGAGGGTGTTCCGGCGGCAGGAGGCGGCGCGCGCGGCGGCCCTCGTCGCGAGGGGCCGCCGAGTGGCCATGCTGTCCCGCGGAGCGGGGCGCAAGGCGGCGCAGCTGTGGCGCACTGGGCTGGCCCCGTCGGTCGCCCACGGCGCGGGCGTCAG